ACGAGCGCTAAGATGTAGTTTTCAATGTAAATGGACAGTGGTTGTGAAGACAGAACCAAAAGCTGGCACTGTTAGGAAGAAAAAACCAAATATCCATGCGCATTTGCCTCCAGAGCTTTTGGTCAGAATTGATGTACCTCGTGCTGTGGTAAAATCAATCTACTTGCTGCCCTCAGTGATGTACCGCCTAGAGTCTTTAATGTTGGCCAGCCAGCTTAGGGAAGAGATTGATTGTAGCATTAATAACTTCAGTATATCAAGTACATCGGTATGGTTTTTGACACTATCTGTCATTTAGAGGTGAAACTATCTAGCTATCTAACTTTATTGGTTTATATATCAGATTCTTCAAGCACTTACAACACTTACATGCCCCGAAGCGTTTTCCATGGAGCGATTGGAACTGCTTGGGGATTCAGTCTTGAAGTATGTTGTGAGCTGCTATCTATTCCTTAAGTATCCTGACAAAGATGAAGGACAACTATCACGGCAGAGGCAATCGATTATATCTAACTCAAATCTTCATTCCGTGGCAACCAATCGAAAACTACAGGTATCTTCTAATATTCTGTAAGTAATGTCTTATATCAGTTAGAACACTAATGAAATATCTTTTATATTGGGATTGGTTTGATAGGGATACATAAGAAATGGCGCATTTGAACCTCGTCGCTGGACTGCACCTGGTCAAGTTTCTCTTTTTCCAGTTCCTTGCAAATGTGGGGTAGAAACTAGAGAAGTACCATTGGACCCAAAATTCTTCACAGAAAACATGACTATCAAAATCGGGAAGGCTTGCGACATGGGTCATAGATGGACAGTTTCAAAATCTGTATCAGATTGTGCTGAGGCCCTGATTGGTGCCTATTATGTAAGCGGTGGATTGACTGCTTCTCTCCATATGATGAAATGGCTCGGTGTTGATGTCGATTTTGACCAAAACCTAGTCATTGAAGCCATCAATAGAGCTTCTCTACGGTGTTACATACCTAAAGACAATGAGCTCACAGAGTTGGAGAGAAAGATCCAACATGAATTCTCTGCCAAGTTCCTTTTAAAAGAGGCTATCACACATTCCTCTGTTCATGAATCCTATTCATACGAGGTATGGCCTCATCATTTTAACCCTGCATTATTTGGTTAACTCACACCTAGTTTTCTAATCTCATGCTATCATTTTGTTCCTCAAACAGAGGTTGGAGTTTCTTGGCGATTCTGTACTGGATTTTCTAATCACCCGTCACCTTTTTAATACCTACGAACAAACTGGGCCTGGAGAGATGACCGATCTTCGTTCTGCATGTGTAAATAATGAAAATTTTGCACAAGTTGCAGTGAAAAATAATCTGCATAGCCACCTTCAACGTCGTGCTACGGTTCTTGAGACACAAATAAACGAGTATCTGATGTCCTTTCCAAAGCCAGATGAGACTGGTAGATCAATCCCTTCAATACAAGGGCCTAAGGTAAAAAAAACATACTTGCATGACCATTTTAAGTCCCTGCCTGAGATTTTCAGATTACAAAAAGAACAAACAGGTTGACATACTTGTCTGTTTTGGTTTAGGCTCTTGGAGACTTGGTGGAGAGTATCGCTGGAGCATTGCTGATCGATACAAGGTTAGATCTTGATCAAGTGTGGAGAATCTTTGAGCCGATGCTTTCTCCACTTGTTACTCCAGATAAACTTCAGCTACCTCCATACCGAGAGCTCAATGAGCTATGCGACTCTCTTGGGTATTTCTTCCGAGTGAAATGTTCAAATGATGGTGTCAAAGCACAAGCCACGATCCAGTTGCAGCTGGATGATGTTCTTCTAACTGGAGATGGATCTGAACAGACAAATAAACTGGCCTTGGGAAAAGCAGCTTTGCATCTGCTTAGGCAACTTGAGGTAAATGTTCTGATGTTTCTACTTGCGTGTGTTGGTGTGTTTACAATGTCTTCATTTGCTGAAACTTTATTTGGTTCTTCAGAAGAGAAACATTTCACGTAAAACTTCAATCGGGGATAATCAAAGTTCCATGGCTGTTAATCTTGACGGAGAAACTCCGGCTCCAGATTCTAACGAAATCCAGAGTATAGTGATTCCAGGTGAGCGTGTAGAAACTGTTTTTTTACCTTAAACATATTCTTCTTTTCTTCTTCACTTTCTTGGTTCCAGGATTAAGCATTTCATGGTTTTATGATTTTCAGTTATTGGACCTATAAACATGAAGAAAGGTGGGCCTCGTGGAACTCTACATGAGTTCTGCAAGAAGTATCTCTGGCCAATGCCTACTTTCGACACCTCGGAAGAGAAATCGCGGTGAATTCATCATCAATTGTGTCTTATTTTGGTTCAGTGTCTCCTGAGTATTGACCAGTCTTAAACTGATAACTTTCTTGTGTCTGGTCAGAACTCCGTTTGAATTCACTGATAGCGGTGAGAAGCGGACTAGCTTCAGCAGTTTCATATCAACCATAACGCTACGGATACCCAATCGTGAGGCTGTGATGTATGCCGGAGAAGCTAGGCCTGACAAGAAGAGTTCTTTTGACTCTGCAGTCGTGGAACTGCTCTATGAGCTTGAGCGCCGCAAGATACTTACCATACAAAAGTAAACTGATTTCGGCTATTAACAAGTTATGACTATATGATTCACATTTAGTGATTTCGAGCGGATTGATCTTGCAAAAGCAAAAACTCGAATCCAGTTTAAAAGCTTCCTCATCTTGATATGTCTAGTGTATCGACTAGTTTTAGATTGTTTTGTATGTAAATCTCTAATTGATCTGCTCATTAAATTTATACCTTAATGATAAGCAACCATCTCACCATACCAATCGATTGGAAGAAGTAGCGTTATAAAATGGTTTTTGTACACCAACTCCATTCTCTCACTGTCATGACAACAACAAAAAAAAAAACATGAGGTTCATATACCTAAGAGTGTAGCTTGGATGGCAAGTTAATTATAGAAATGAAGAAGAACATGTACATGAACCTTTCTGTAAGAAGTCTCATGTAAATTAAAAAAGCTTCAACCACTGTAAAGCACTTTTGGAGTGGGCGAAGAATCTTCTTTCCGCAGCATCGTAGCAACGTTAGAACAACATTATATGTAGTATGTTAATTAGGGTATTTTAGTATTAATTTAGTATTAAATTTAAAAAAGTAGAGTTTAAGAGCTTTAATTTTGTTCTTAGTTTTGAGATGTATTTATTGGTAGGATCTTAAGTTGGTTATCTTAGAAAACAATTATTTTTTTAAAATTAAATAAATTTATAATTTATAATTTAAGAAAATCTTATAATTATTGCAAATTTAGAATTTGAAAACATACATAAGAGAGAAATTATAAGATAGAAATTATAACATAAAGTACAATAAATTTAAACATGATTGCAAGAAAATTTACCCCAAATATGTTCGACTAAATCGTTATTCAATTGTTCATGCTTAGCTCGATCCCAAAGTCGAGTTCTAGCGGCCATCAGATCGACGAGATTTGAAGGCATATTTGTATTATGCGAGAAATCCACTCGTGTATTTTCGGCAATTTCCGCTTGTTGAAATTCGGTGACATCAAACTGAGTATACATATCTCGTTAATCTTAATTTGAGTAAAAAAAAAAAAATTCCATTATATATTTATCATCTTAGCCAATCAGAAAAAAAAAAAAAAAAAAACAATCAGAGTCTGCCACGTAGGCGTCTCTTAACCCACCAAAGGTTTCTTCTCCAACATACTCTAGCATAGGTATCTTACCATTTATTATGCTTTTTGATTAAAATTTAAATGACATTAATGCTAAGATACTGCTTAAATCCTGCTGATAATCCTGGTCTTATATAAATAAAAGTGTATAGCAGGATTTAAGAATATTGTGTAAAGAATCTGTTTGATTTCTCATAAAAGGAACCAAATTAAGTTGTTCAATATAAGCCATAGCTTATGGACCAATATAGCTCATAAACCCCTAAACATATAAATCATAGATCACTAATACACATGACTTGTATCTTGAGCTTGGAGGAAGTTGCGGGAAGCTTCAACAGATCCTCTTTGATAGGCTTGGGCAAAATACCCGGACCCGAAAATCCGACCCAAACCCGATCCGAACTCGAACCCGAAATCTAGAAATACCCGAACATGTTCTATATCTCTAAACCCAAAAATCCGAACCCGAACCTGACCCAAACCGAAACCCGAACGGATATCCTAATACGTCCATAATATAAATATATGATAATAATTTTTTAATAATATATATATATATATATATACTTGTAATAATCTAATGTCAAATTATCCAATTTTTGTATATTTTGGATTGTTTTAAAGTTCTAAACTCCTATTTAAATAAATTTAAGTAAAAAATTATATAGGTTTTGGAATTTTTAATTAGTTTGGGCATATTTGCATACTCAAATTTTGAATTTTGAGAATTACGGGTAACCTGAACCCGAACCCGAAATACTCGATCCGAACCCGAAATCTATAAATACTCGAATGGGTTCTATATCTCAAACTCGAAAACCCAAAAATCCGAAATACCCGACCCGAACCCGAACAGGTACCCGAACGCCCATGCCTACTCTTTGAGTTGCATCTTACTTCATTTTCAGTAAGAAATTTCTAATGTGTTTCAGCTCACTTGGATTTCCTTGATACCTCATCATACATAGCATCATTATTTGGAGGATCTCAAATCATAGTATAAAGTTGAGAATCTTAAGCAGTATTCTCTGGATTTTTTGTATTCAAATGTAAAGAGTGAGTCAGTTCAGCAATTTCTTCTTATCACGTAAGTTAAATAGTAAGAATCCTAATATCCTAAATAAGTACGTACCAAATATTTTTATTTATTTTTCTAGGAATATGTAATATCATACACAACCGTCAATGTAACGTATATAATAGAATTTCTATAAGAATCTGAATCTATATGTATATTTCTAGAAAGCAATACACTGTATATAATAGGTTCTCTCGATGTAAAGTATCGGGGATACGCTAAGAGAAGAACTCCTCCGGAATCGAGTCTCTGCATGGAAGAGATGCTACACCTTCAAACTATAAGAAAAATGACATTGAAGGTTACATTAATTAACAATTAAGTGATAAAGTGTTATAATAATTGATAAAACTATATATTTTGTTCTATTTTATTTTACTTACGTGTGATGAAGTATATTTGTTCCTAATGTAATGACATACTCCATATCGCCTTTGAAGAAAAATTTCTAGCAAAAGGGTGACTGCATTTCGCAAGTCACCCTTTTCGTAAACCCATACAAAATCCTATTAACAAACAAACATATATGTGTGTTAGATTCAGAAGAAACATAACCAAATGGTTTGAGTGTAGGATTGGGTTTGGTTTGGGTCGGTTTGAGTTTGGTTTGATTTCGTTCAGGTTCGGTTAAAATGTACAAAGAAAGAAATTGCATACATACCGTAGTAGGTTTCTCATTCTGGCGCAACACATATTGAGCCAAAAAGACGGAGGCTGCTGCTAGGAGAGACGGAAGAAACCCCGAGAACTCTCGACCGAGTAGTGACAGTTCCGCTATGTACGAGCAGAGACATTGGAACTATAAGAAGGAATTAAAGAAAGAAAATTGGTTAGTCACAGTAAACAGTCCAATACATTTATTTTGTCTTAGGTGATACAAAAGAGAGCTAAGAAAATATTAAATCAGTCACTTAAGCGCATTTAATTCATTATCATATCAGTGCAACTACATTTCCAAAATAAAACAACCCCTTATTAATGAACAACAGAACTTATAAATGTTACGACAAATACAATGAGTATATGTGATTCAAAAGTAAACGATCAAGACCATGACTAAGAAAGCAAAATCATAAAATCCAAGCCAGCCAACAATAGAGACAAACAAAACTCAGATTGCCATGAAATGTAACGGTGATAAGAGAATAGATGCAGTGAATGACCATAAGTACTAAACTACAATCCCATGATTCAAGGCAGTAGAGAAAGGTGATTGCAGAAAACTCACAGTAGCATCATGTTGTGCCGTCATGCTCAGATGTAGATCTACAAAAGTTTTTGTCGTTGGCCCAGATAGCCTGTAGTCAAAACTTCGAAGAATCTGTATCTCCAACTCTAGATTTCGAATAGGGAATACCAAGCTCTCAGACTTGTCAATACCATACTCGTACTTCCTTTAAAATACAAAAACAAAAAACAGAAAAAGAGTTACTAAAGTTATAAATTATAAGAAATCATCAAATAGTTATCTCAGTTTGCAAACACAACTAACACTGCGATGAAGAGTGACAGAGTGATCGCGGTTTGAGGATCTATCGGGACTGGTCCTTGGCCTACTTGAAACGACGCAAAATATTTGTCAAACACAAGGACCGCCAGTGGGATGGCTTTAGGGTATTGAGCAGCCTTTTCCGAAGCTAGCATTGTGTCAATTGTGGTGGCTCTAGTGTTTTCATCTATTGCTGTGATAAGATTTATCTCAGGTTGCTGGCTGATAAGCAATGTAGCGAACTCACGGGCCTACAAGAAATGATTCATACACATTCGTTGGCAAACGTTTATTCTGAAATTAAACTGATACAACACACTAACCTCATTAATGCCAACTTCATTAGCTTGTATAGGTTCTGCATCCTTGAGTTCAGCTATCATTTCCTGTGAAAACATAAGAAATCCTGATGAGTGCAGAGTCAGCATGGGAGAGGCAAAGCCAGAAGCGTTAGAAATATTTTGATTTATGCCTCCTCGTTGCAGGTAAGATCCATAGTAGCAACATCTTGTTCCTGATCGATATCTTCACTCTGCTGGAACAAATTGAACACAGAACACAAGTTATTGAACTTATACAGAGATCTCGACAAATCTAATAAAGCAAAATATAGAAATCTATGCAACAACAAAACCACAACAAGAAACATTCAACTCAAGCAGATATACTTGCCTCCTCGTTGCAGGTAAGATCCATAGTAGCAACATCATGTTCCTCATCGATATGTTCACTCTGCTGGAACAAATTGAACACAGAACACAAGCTATTGAACTTATACAGAGATCTCGACAAATCTAATAAAGCAAAATATAGAAACCTACGCAACAACAAAAACATCATCAAATCATCTGTTCTGAGAAATCCTCAAAGCCAAAAGCTTCTCGCGATTGAACTATGAGATTACGATCTCGCTAAAGAAATCGGAGCTTGATCGATCACGAACTAAGAAATTACGATCTCGGGAGCAAGATCGATCACGCACCAATTCTGAATAATCATCGAAACCTAAATCCCTAAAAACCTAAAGCTCATCGGACTGAACGGAGAAAGAATCGGAGCAAGATTGATCATGAACTAACTAACGACTAACCTCCGATGATGAATTCAAGATTCTCTGCCTTTTCTTCAATGGTGAACTCATCTTTTCTCAGGAACTCAGAGATGAAAACAAAAAAAAATGGCGAGAGGAATGATCGGAACAAGGAACAAAGGAAGAAGGAAGAAGGAAGAAGGAAGAAGAACGATCTTATAGTGAGCGGGAGGAGTATTCTGTTATGCATTTCACGAAAATACCCTCCAACTTCTCCTATTATTACAGTCCTGCCACTACTCTTTTTCCCGCATCTTTTTTGAAACTCTCATTATATTATAATTCTTTCTTCAAGTGCCCTCCGCCTTCCACTTTATTACTGCAACTGCCACTCCCAGAGAACTGTAACACTAACGTACATTTTTTTATATAAATGTATATTATGTATTTTTTTTTAAAAGGTCACATTTTATTAACTAAATTTTTAAAATATATATAAGGAGAAATAATGGCTATAAAGCCACATTACAAAAAAAAAAAAAATGTGCTGGAATGTGCCATTCTCTACTTTTATTTTTCTTTTATAATTTTTTTTTTTAATCCAGTATCTACCGTTACAAACCAGCCTCTAATTTTATGACCCAATTCCAACTCTAAAACCTAAATAAGATTTTTTTTTTTTTGGGCAAAGATTCAACAACAAGTTTATAGTTCTCTTTAGAACTTAAAACAACCACTAAATTGTAAACAAAAAGAGGTTTTGGTCCAAGTTGGATCGACCCGGTTCGGACTGGATTTGGTTTACTACATTTCTCATCTTCAAATCTTCATAACTTCCTAACTGTAACTCCAAATCCGCTTCCGTTTTGATCCAAAATTCTTATCTTTTATGATCCAAATTTTAGATGGTTTCTCAAATTCTTAAGCTTTTCTTTGCAATCTTTTTGTGATCCAAAATTTCCTTTTGCCTCTTTAGCTTCAATTTTAGGACTCTTAATGCAAAAATACCTTAAACTACATGATTAATGCATATTTACAAGCAATAATAGTGAGTTAAGACCCAAAATTTATTAAAAAAAAAAAGAAAAAAGCTTCAAACCACCAAAATATCTTCACATCATCAAATCTTCGTTTTCACCTTCACTCACGTCCCGTCCTCCATAGCCACAACCTTCATTCCAGCCATTGATCATATATATATTCAGAACCTTTTTCATGGATCAACCACGCGACATTGGTTTTTGCTTATTTGTAGTTTAACCTTACACAATTAAAATTATTATATTGTAGTTTTTTCCATATTAATTATCATTTAAGAAACTTTTGTAATACAATTTGCATGAAATCATAGTTTTCACTGCTTTTGCGTCATAAGAGGGTAATCACTTACTAAGTACATGAAAACACATCATGATAGATTCCAAAAATTCACACAAAACTTCTTTGCCAGCAAAACGGAAGAACGTAACTAAGGACACTTCAAACGCCAAACTGAGACTCTTTACATGACACAACCACAAGTCCACAACCACAAATATATTGAGCTAAATATTTGAATCAAAACTCTAATTCAAACTCTCTAAAAGCTCCGACGTGATCAAGACTCGAGATTATTGTTCTCCAAAAGCTCAAAAGCTCATGGAATAGCCGAGTTTTAATTGTTTTCTAAGTTTGGTTTTGTTCAATTAAATGTTTTTTCGTAAATTTCTTCTTCCTTTTTTTTTTTTTTTTCCCACAAAATCTCTTATTTAATTTATAATTGCTTTAAAAATAATTTATGAAATAGAAATTTATGTGGAAGAATTTGATTGGTTAGGTGACTTGTGCTATTTTATATATTAACCTAATTAAACTCTTTCTCTCGTCATAATCTCACCCTTTTGATAGTTTAGGCCGTGATAGAGAGAAACCCTAATGGAGGGAGAGAAAAGAAAACGTGGAAACACTCCACAAGAGATTATAGACGAAATCTTGATAAAGCTTCCAGTGAAGTCGCTGGTGAGATTCAAAGCCGTATCAAGAGAATGGAGAGGAACAATGGAGTCAAAGTACTTCATAGAGAAACACAATCAATATCAGAAATCTCTACAGTTAAGGCAAGTGAGAATACTCATATTCTCAGAAGAAAAAAGATACAATGGTCTTTCTCTAGAGACTATGTTAGTTTCTGCCAGTGGACTCGTCTTACATGTTCCTCCATGTCTTTTACCCATTAGGTCTTTTAACCGGTTTGATTTTTACAAAATCACTATGCCTTGTGATGGTTTGATTTGTATCTATACACATACTCGTATATTTAACCTTTTCAATCCTGCCACCACTATCCGACGTAGACTTCCTTATCCCACTTCTGATATTTGTGACGGTACGTACTTGATTTCCCTTACTATGTTTTACATGTCTTTATTGGTTCATATATTTTGAAACTCATGGATTTGAGTCTATGTATTTTTTTCACATCCATATTAATAAACCATGAATCCAATGTGAAATTTAAAGAAAAACGAGTAAACGAATACATAAGATTTAAACCATGGAAACAATAACACATAATTTTGATAAGTACTTTAAAACCAATGATTGAATAATACGTTACTTTTTTTGTTTGGATTTCAAAATCCATTAAAATCCATAAACCAAAAAGGTTCTTGTTTATATATACTAGCTTGGTTTTGTTTATTGTAACAGGTGGGCATAGGGTATATACTTTGCTAGGGATAGGAAGAGAGAAGAGTGTGATAAGTCCAAGGTATAAGCTATTGTGGTACTACGAGCATGATTACAAACGTGAGAATAAATCTACTAGGTGCATGGTTTTTGCTCTTGACACTAACACTTGGAGGTACGTAGATCCACCAAACTGTCGAGTTCACCATAACCATCCTCTAATACACTTAGATGGAGTCATGTATTGCTTCAGCCACAACATGGAAAGAGCATGTCACCGTGAAAAGGATCTCAAGTTATTAGCTTTTGATCTCCACACAGAGACATTCGAAAGCATTTCGATCACTCCCGATATCGGGTGTAGAAGCTGCCACGAATTAAGCATGTGCGTTCTTGACCATCGTATATGCATTTTCAAGAGATTTGTTGATGACAAGGACCATGTTTTCAAGATTTGGGGTCTAGAAGACTTACACAAGAGATCATGGGAATTGATGTATTCCATAGATTTGACTTGTTTGCCGCCAGAATTCAAAGAGTGGAGAATCATCCCAATGGCAACGATCAACAATTATCTCATCATTTCAAATTGTAGACTTACCATGTGGCTCCTTTACGGTTCCAAAAGCTCCATTTTATATCGTGCGATTTCTCCCTTTCACTTGTACATGTCTTATTTTGAGACTCTAGTCTCTGTTTATCAATAATTATTTTGTTACTCTTAGCATTCAGTGATCTTGGTTCGAAATTCCATTATAACCTAATTATGCATATTTTGGTTCATATATATATTTTGTTACTCTTAGTATTCAGTGATCTTGGTTTGAAATTCCATTATATCCTAATTATGCATGATCTTGGTTTGAAATAACCTTTTCAATCCTGCCACCACTAGCCGCCGTAGACTCCCTTATCCCACCTCTGATATTTGTGACGGTACGTCCGTATATATATACTTGTGAATATATTCCCTAATTATGCATATTTTGGTTCATATATATTCCCTAATCCATTAGAATCTACCTTGAATCCAAGAAAAAATTGCTAAAAGAATATAGGATATTAAATAGTATTTGATAAACCAGTGAATTATTTTGTTACTTTGTTGTCAATAATTATTTTGTTACTTTTAGTATTCACTAGTTAGATTATATTTAGATTATACTTTTAGTATTCACTAAGTCAACAAGGTATAATCTAAGTAAACCAAAGTTTTTAGGTTTGGAAAACGCTCTAGCAGGCACTCGAAAACACTAAATCAACAAGGTTGTTGATCACCGGTAATTCACCTTTGTAGCATTCCGAAAACACCCAAAACATACACAAATAATATTTTCTTATTTCTAACAAAAAAAAATATAAAGAGACCATACACAAATGTACTGACCTGGACAGTAGAAGAAGTTAAGTGAAGGGTCTTGCCCTTGAGTCTTGACATTGCGTATCCCACTGATGAGATTTGTCACAATCGCTTGCTTGTAATCTTGTAAGAAATGAAGGTCCAATGTAGCTTTTTCACATTTTCTTAATTTTTGAGCAAACTTAAGTCACTCTTCTACATCCTTCAACTACACATTGAAAACTGAAAAGTTTTCTTAAATCTTATAATCTTAAACAAGAAAATGAAATGAATGAGGTCCATTGGGATTTATAAGAGGCCTCTAAATATTTGAAAAAATAGAAAACCCAAAAAGGCCAAAAACATTTAATACGTTTGACTAAAGTTTTGATCCAATATTTTTTTCTTACTGAAACAAAAATTAAACTAAACATTCGAAACTCATGTTCGTCTATAGCTCAGTGGCAGTGCAGGTTCAGAAAAAGAAAAGGGAATCACTTTTTAAGTCGAAGCTGATTCAACCATTCAACCCCAAAGATTCGAAATTTCCTCTACTCTTCTCTTTAAAGTGTGTTCCTTTATCTCCGTTGGTTCTTCATGCATTCTTCGTTGGAGCCGGAGAAAATGGAGGAAGAATCACAACAAGGAGGTGGTCAAGGAAGCAATTCGCTTAAGAGGAAGTTCTCTGAAATCGATGGAGCTCGAAATCTTGAATCTTTCTCTTCTCCTATGATGATTGACTCTAATGGGTATCTTCATCTTCCTCTGCTTTAACTTGATTTAGGGTCTTATGGGTCTTTGCTTTAAGTTCTGTTAGGATAATTCAGTAAAGTTTACATTTTTATTGCAGTAGTTATGAGTTGATAGTGTATGGGTCTTTCCTTTGAGTTCCTTTCAAAGGGTTTAGTGATAATTCAGTAAAGTTTACTCCTTTTTCTTATG